ACAATAACAACCTATTGATTATTCTTCCTGCTTCTACTTTTGCTCCTGCCATAGTCCTTTCTTTACACAGTAGCCACAGCTGTTTTTAAAATATAAATCAGATCAAGTCACTCTCTTACTTAAACAATTCAATGGCCTCTCATTTTATTTAGAAGAAAATTCAAACTACTTACCATAAATTATATGGCTTTATATGATGTAGGCCCTGTTGACCTCTCCAAAGTCTCTCTGTACCGTTCTTCACCTTACTTGTTGCATCCACTCCACTGTTTTATGCTCTCTGTTTCTCACCTATACCAAGCTTGCTTCTGCCTCAGGGACGTGGCACTTGTGGTTCTGTCTTCCAGGAATGCTCTTCCCATGGCTAGATCCTTTGCTGTTTTCAGTTTAAAAGCCATCTGTATTAGTTTCCTGTGGTTGTCATCTCCATGTATGTGTGTGTGTATGTCTGTCTGTCTATCTGTGTCTGTGTCTCTTTCCTCTTCTTATAAGGACACCAGTCATATTGAATTAGGTCACCCTACTCCTTATGGTCTCATCCCAATTTAACTGATTACATCTGTAAAGATTCTATTTCCACATAGGGTGAAATTATGAGTTTCTGAGGGTTATAACTTTGACATATGTTTTTTGGGGGACACAATTCAATCCATAGCACCATCTCTTCAAAAATGCTTTTCCTCCAATCAAAAAATGGGCAAAGGACATGAACAGACACTTCACCAAAGAGGGCATTCAAGTGGCCAACAAACACATGAAAAGATGGTCAGTATCATTAGGTATTTAGAGAAATGCAAATCAGAACTGCAAGATACCATCTCACCCCAGCACTGATTGAAAAAAAAAAAAAAGGCAACAACAAATGTTGGTGAAGATGCGGCGAGATTGGAACCCTCACCCATTGCTGGTGGGACTGTATAATGGGTATAACCACCATGGAAAATGGTATGGCACTTCCTCAAAAAACTAGAAATAGAACTACCTTATGATCCAGCAACACCACTTCTAGGTGTATGCCCTACAGACCTAATAGAAGTGACCCAAACAGACATATGCACACCCATGTTCGTTGCAGCATTATTCACAATAGCAAAAATATAGAAAAAGCTCAAGTGCCTTTCAGTGGATGAATCGATAAGCAATGTCGTACATACATGCAACGGAATACTATGCAACCAAAGAACAATGGCAAGTGTGCAAAACATTATAACATGGATGGATCTGGAGGACTGTGATGCGATGGATCACTTTTATATGGCCTTTCTAGCCAAGGTCTTATAATTCCCACCAAATTATTGGGTAGGACTATACAAATAAGGTGCTTGTGACCCAGCAAGGGGATTGCACAGCTTGCCAATATTCTAAATAAAGTGTATTATTATCTTTTGGGGGGTGGGACCTTGCAAATAAGATGTATTGAACCCTAACAAGGAGATTGGTCAGTTTTGCAATCTCACTAAGCTTAAAATGAGCCATCCCAGAGGCAGACAGGAGGGACCTCACTACCACCAAGAAGAGACAGGAGCAAAGTGTGACCTTTGGACCCATGGTCCTTGTGCTGAGAACCTCCTAAACCCAGGAGATGGAGAGAGAGAGAGCTGTAACACCAGAGAGGGTGCAGGACAGTGAGAAGTGGCGGCAGAGAAACAGCAGCAGCAGAACCAGGAGACCAGTGCAAGATGATGTGGTGGGCTTTGGTGGGCTTCCCTGCCCATGGAGCAAGAAAGGTACCTTTGGGCAGGAGGCTTACTAGCAGAGTGAGGTGCTTCTGGGCACTTGTCACAGGAGCTAGACCTGCAGATCCACGGAGCGAAAGAGCTGAGCGCCTTCAGGCCAAGGCTTCCTGGTGGAATGGGGTGCCCCCGGTTACTTACTGGCAGGGCTAAAGATCTTTGTTACACTTGCTTGAGCAAGGCAGAGGCTGGCCCAAGAGGCCCACCTGTGAGCATGGCCGAGAAGCTGTCCTAACTGAAGAACTGTATCTTGAGTTGTTCCTGATCCTGAATTGTAACCTGTTACTTCCCTAATAAACCCCAAAACTGTGAGTATGGTCTGTGAGTTCTGTGTGGCCATTGCAATGAATTATCAAACCCAGCAGAGAAGTAAAGAGTGCCATAAGAGGGATAGCTAGTGTCAAATATGGGGAAAAGTGTTGGGGAGAGGAGGTATGTCTGACCTCCACCTCATAGGAATTAGCCTTGGCCACCCCCCAACCTTTGGTCAGACGAGAGACTAGAGGCTACCTGAGGCAATGAGAGTCTTTTTCAGTCATTCTCACATCTATCTTCTCTGCCTGAGAATTTTCAGATTTTTCCTGAGATTATTCCTTCAAAAATCCACTCTCTGAGTCTCCATTCTTCTTCCATTCAACAGGTATTGAACACCTACTCTGCCTATTCCTGAGCTTCATACTGAAAAACTTAGAAAAAGGCAGAATGAGGTCCCAGATCTCCAGAGCTGCACTGGGGGAAAGGTATATATTGAGAGGAAGTGAGATTAAAGATGGAGAATGGAGTAGGGAGGATGTAGGGGAAGGGAGAGAGGTAGGTAGGTAGATAGGAGGTAGGTAGTTCAGGATTCTGCTCTGAAAGGGCTACAGGGTGTAGGCCTGAGGACTGGAGTCAGTGAGGAGGGATAAGTGAGGGGGAGAAGGGCTATGTAGAAAGGCGTCCTGGTGGTGAGTGAAGAGTGCAGGTCTGGCTTCAGCTGAAGCCATGAGGGTACTGAAGAGCCTTTGTTGGGGGAGGGGGTATCTTGGACATCCCTTGACCAACATCATTGTGTACTTTGGGCCCAGGATATGACCTGTCCCAGGCCCCTCCCACCGCTGTCCTTGCCTTAGGTCAGGGCACCGCCTCCAGGGGGGGTTCCATTCAACCAGGCAGTCTGACACTTGCAGAGGCCCACCCCAGATTCTGTGCTGTCCGTGGTGATGGAGAAGCGCAGCTCTGCAGGGACTATTTCTCAGGCCTTGGGAGCATTTGCAAAAGGTGCTCTTCCAAAAAGACCGCACTCATTTTCATTGTACCTACAAATTATGATTGTATTCTTTTCACTGCACCTCAATAGAACCGAGGCTTCACCAGGGAGAGCTTATTAAAGCAAGAACTGACTGTCACCACCACTATCGCATTCTCCCTCCATCCCCATATACTCAAGTATGTGAAGGAAAATGTGAAAATAAGTGAAGACATACAAAATTTTTAAAACTAAGGAAACATAACTTCTAGAGAAGAAAAATACAATATTTGACATGAAAATTTCACTGAATGGGACTAGTAGCAGATTCAACATTGTAGAAGAAAGGTCATTGAACTTTAAGACATAGCAATAGAATCTATTCAAACTGAAGTACATAGAAAGCAAAAGGCTGAAAAAAGGTGAACAGGTGCTCCGGGCCCTGTGAGATAATATCAGAAAATCTAACATACGAAAAATTGGAGTCCCAAATAGAGAAGAAAGAAGAAGAATAGAAGAAATGTATTTAAATAAATATTTGGTTCCATTTTTACAAATTTGATGAAAACACTGGTGATGCAATCGTTACGCGGTTGGCTGCTAACTGAAAGGTAGGCCGTTCAAACCCACCAGCTGCTCCTTGGGAGAAAAGACCTGATGATCTGCTCCCATAAAGATCACAGCCTAGTTCAGCCTGGGAGCGGACAGCCCCGTAAAACCAAATGAGACTAACGAGATACAGGAGTCCAGTGACAAGGGCCAGAAGGCAGAAGGGAACAAGGAAGCTGGTGATAGGGAACACAAGGTTGAGTAAGGATATTGTTGATGTGTTGTGAGATTGTTAACCGTTGTCATAGGGCAACATTTGTAGTAACTGTTAAATGAGAAACAATTGGAAGAGCGTAGTCAATGTCACTGAACTGTGTATGTAGAAATTTTTGAAACGGTGTATCTTTGGCTATGTGTATTTTCACCAAAAAAAAAAAAAAAAGGTTGAGAGTTTAGAGGGTTAATATGTTGTGGGGTTGTTAACCAATGTCATAAAACACCATGTGTACTACTGTTTCATGAGAAACTATTTGTTCTGTAAGCCTTCACCTGAAGTACAATAAAATATAAAAAAAAAAAAAAAAGGAAAAAAAAAAAGATCACAGCCTAGGCAGTTCTACTCTATCTTATAGGGTCGCTATGAGTCAGAATCAACTTGACATCACACAACAACAACAACATAACATAAATCACAGATCCAACAAACTTCAAACAGGACAAATTCACATACACACACACACACCCACACACCCACACACACACACACCCACTCACACACACATACTACAGTAAGGCTTATGATAATCAAGTAATCAAAACCCACTGATACAGAGAAAATGTTACAACCAGCCAGAGAAAAAGACAAACTACAAATAGTAAAAGGAAAGATAAAAATTACATCAGAATTCTCATGAGAAACTATGCAAGCCAAAATAATTTAGAGTACTGGAAGGGGGAAAAGGTTAACCCAGGATTCTATATCCATTGAAAATATCTTTACAAAGCTAGTGCAAGTGAAAACTTTTCCACACAACAGCTGAGAGAATTAATCACCAGCATACCTTTACTGCAAAAAAATATAATAATACCATCAGGCAAAAGGAAAATGATACTAGAGAGAAATTTGAATGTACACAAAAGAATGAAGAGCAATTGAAATGGTTAATATGTGGATAAATATAAAAAGGTTTATTTTCTAATTTTATTTTAAAAAATAATATATTGTTTGAGATGAAAATAATATATTATGGGGTTCGTAACAATATATTATGGAGTTGAATTATGGGCTTATCAAACCCACATTAATGTAAGCACACAGAAGCAAAACATTGCATGGAATATAATTCAAATTCATGATAAAAATACAAATTTATATTCCCACCTTCCTTCCCAATCATTTGTTTAGAACCATAGTAAACAGTCCTGGAGACCAGATGGGAAAGGTGAAGGGAGGTTATTTCTGGATAGGGAGACAGGACCATGTCATGCAGTACCTCCTTTCTCCACAGAGCTGTGCAGGAGTGAGAACAAGTCCCAGGAAATGGTACCTGAGGGTCCCTCATCCATCTGTCAGGGCTCTGGAGCCCAGACCTCAGCACTGCTGTGAGTAGGAGGCTCAGCCAGACTTTGCATCCCTGTCCTCTTTGGAGCTTCTGAACCTATGGAGGAAACACGGTTCTGAAATCAGAGACCAGTCCTGTGGAGGATTCTCTCCAGAGAGGAAAAAGTGTGTGAAGCCATCAAAAATTTTAAGGGCTGAAAATGTAGGACATCCTGAGGACTTCTTACCTGGTATAGTAGATCCAGGTGAGAATATAGGCAAAAATGAAGCCAGCCCCCAGTATGACCCCTCATGAGTAGGGTGAGAACTAGAGGCCAGGAGCCCCTCTGTTCCCCAGAGACACAGGGACAGCAACAGGAGATACCTGGGGGAAGAGGGAGGAGATGGGAGATGTGAGTTTCCTAAGTCCACACCTCAGCCCTGCTCACAGCCCCACCTCATAGGGCAGATGTCCTGCCCATACTCACCCTGCACAGAGAGGCTCGTGTTAGGGGCCCAGCAGATGATGAGCTTGGCAGGTGAATTTTCCTCCATCCCCGGAAAGCAGCTGGGGAAGTTCCAGGACCTCTGGATTCAAAGCCTGGGAGGGGCTTAGTGTTAGGCTCCCCCAGGACCAGCTCAGCTTGGTAGGAGTATTGCTGTCAGCATCACAGACAGGCTTAAGGACTGACCCTCCAGGACTTGCAATGAGGTGGCATTGCCCAAAAGCTCTTGGACTGAGGAAACAGAGACAGCCAGAGGGACAGGGCTGAGAGGCCCTTCTGTCCCTCTGTCCTCCCACAGACATTGTTGTGAATTGAAGTTTGTTCCTCCAAAAGATATGTTTACCTCCCAACCCCTGGTACCTGTAAGTGTGACCTTGTTTGAAAATAGGGTCTTTGCAGATGTAATCAAATTAAGATGAGGTCATACTGGAGTAGGGTGCACCCTAAATCCAATATGTCTTTGTAAGAAGAGAAGAGACACAGAGACACCCAGAAGGAAGAAGATCATTTATAGAGGAAGGCAGAGATTGCAGTGATATATCTACAAGCCAAGGAACACCAGGGTTTGACAGTAACCACCAGAAGCTGGAAGAGACCAGAAAGGATCTTCCCCTAGAGCCTTCAGAGAAAGCGCAGCCCTGCTGACACCTTAATTTCAGACTTCTTGCCTCCAGAACTGAAAGAATAAATTTCTGTTGTTTTAAGTCATCTGATTTGTGGTACTTTTTTACAGCAGCCTTAGTAACTAATATATGCATAAATGAAAAACAACACTTCTGAGACAAGTAAGGGCAGGTATGGGTGAAGATCCATGGGGAGAGGCAGCTCACTGATCCTGGGACAGGGCAGGCTTCCTGGAAGGGCAGCCCTGAGAGGTGGCTGGAAATAAGAGGAAGAGTTAGTTACATCAAGATGTGGGAGAGGACATTCGAGCAGGATGGAGCTTGATCTGCAAAACCATGGAGAGATATTAACACAGGTAGGTCTGACCACTTGTAAGGAAAGACATGGAGGGGCCAGGACAGGTGACACTCTTGGGCTTTCTCCTGAGGCCACAGGGAGCCATGGGAGGGTTCTGAATAGAGGAAGAACAGGGTCAGGTCATGGGCCTGTAAGAGAGGGACGTCCTCCACCTTCTCCTGGATTGCAGTCCTTTTGAGGTCTGAGCTGTGGCCAAGGGGGTGAGACTGGAGGCTGGTAGGCCAGGCAGGAGGCTGGTGCGATGGTCCAAGTGAGAGAGGACTGAAGACTGAACTGGACCTGAGGCCATCTGGAGATGGAGGAAGAAAATGACTTGAGACATTTTCAGGAAGTCAAGTTTGCAAAACTCACTCACTCATGAGGAGGGTTGGGTGAGAGACAGAGATGTCTAAAGTGACTTCCAGGATGTTGACACAAGTGACACAGGTGGGAGGAGCCCCTCTAAGGAAGAACTGGTTGTGCTCAGGACAATCTGGACTGGACAGAAATTTGTGAGGGTCTTCAGGGCCGAGGTAGGATTGGAGCCACCAGGGTGGATGAGCTGACCCATAAGGTTATGCAGATAGAGGCCAGAGGCCCACTGTGGGCTGTAGGCACCCATGTACTTACAGTTTCTTGTGGGAAATTGAGATGACAGTCAGAGAGTGGGTGAGGAAGCAGGAAAGAGGACGCCATGAGAGAGTGAGGGGAAAGAGGTCAAGAGAGAGAACACAACCAGTAGTGACAGTGGGTTGTCAACCAGGAATTCACAGTGACCCAGGAGAGAGTCCTTCCAGGAGGAGGGAGGGCAGAAGCAAACAAGAGAGGGTCTGAAGAGTGATGGTCCTTCATTATGTCAGACCTTATCAACATCCTTCTTATATGAGCTATGAATTCCCGGCTCTGCCTTGGGCTGGCAAAGACCCCATTCCCTTCCCAGCCCCCAAGGGGGAGGTCCTGTCCCACCTGTGCTGTTTCCCTGGAAGGCACAGATGGTCAAGTTCTCTGGAGCATCTGGAACAGAAATGAACAATTGACCACCTGCAGTATGATGGGGTGGTAGTAGGCAAGATGAGGTGGGGGATCTTGGTGTTCTCTTCATCGTGACCCTGCCAAGACCCCAACAACTGTCCCCAAGCATCCCAGGCTCTGCACTCCTCCACCCCAACACCCACTGCCCTTAGGGACCCAAGCATCTCTGCCCAGCACTCACAGGACACATTGAGCTGGACAGGGCTCTCCATGGTCACACCTGCTCCAGAGGGGGTCACTCGACAGGTGAAGTTGGTGCCATGGTGGTGTGGCTCTAAGGTGAGAGTGAGCCCTGAAGAGTGAGGAGTCTTGAAGTCCAGGGATGTGAGGGAAACTCCAATTCAAGAGAAGATGGGGGACATCCCCCTCTTATAAGTGCATGGCACTGTAAAGTTTGTGTTCCTGGGGCGGCCAGGTCCTCAGGTCTCCTGAATGTGGATATTGGATGTCTGTGTCAGGGCTGGAGAGAGAGAGAGACTCGGGCCCCAGAGCTGAGGACCCCTGATTGTGCTCCTAAAAGCAGCCCCTGTCTCAGTAAAGCCAACTCCTCCCCATACAGCCCCAGCGTCCTGTTCCCCTTGATCCCTCTATGAATGAGGAGCAAGGAGTTCCATCCAGCCTTTGTCCTAGGGCCCATGACCTTCCTCTGTGGCCTCTCCTTGACCCATTTCCTCATCTGCCACATGCACAGAGTGCTGGTTATCTATGTAATTACATCTGGCAAAAGATCCTCTCTTCACCCTGAAAAAGTATGTCCCCACATCCTTCTTCTGTACCTCTCCAATTACCAAGGAGCAGCCATAGATTTGGGGTATCCAAGGAGGTGGAATAGGTCCTGGGTCGTTTTCTGCACTTTTCCGTCTGGGTTGTTTGTGGCCACTGGAGCATCCTGGCTTGCATCAGCCCTGTCCTAGAACCAGTAGCCTGGAACCTGGAGTAGTTCCAGCCATAGTGGGAGTAGAAGACAGCGCAGGGCACTTGGATGCACACACTCTCCTCCACTGCCCCTGGCTCCTGCATTTGCAGCCAGAATCAGCATCTTGAGCCAGAGATCCTGTAGGAGACAAAGGTCAGCCACAGCTGACCACTGCATCCTCTCCCTTGGCCTCTCACCTACTCACAGCTGGAGCAGCAGCAGCAGCAGCATCTCCAAGGTGGAGGGTTCCTGGGCTTCCTCTGACTAAAGAGAGAAGGGGAAGGATAGAGAGAAAGGGGAAGAACTGTGGGGGACCCACGGAAAGCTGGGGAGGAGCCCAAGACTGCGGTCGTTCACAGAAGAGGAACTTCAGACACACATGCAGTCAGAGTTCATTCCCCCTGTGCTCAGAGAAGACAGGAATCCCTCAGCTCAGAGAACCCAGAGGCCTGCCCAAAGAGGTCAGAGGAGAAAGACCAGGTCCCCACATCCTGTCTCGCAGTATTGGGCACTTTCTTGGGCACCAGAGTCTGAACAAGGACCTCTGAGGATATCGGAGGCATGGGAGATGAGTGAGTGAGTATTCTAAGTGCCCCCAGACTGAAGTGCTTTTCTGGGTCCTGTTGTTCACACCAGAGACCTCGTCCACTCTTGGCCTGTCCCCACAGAGTCAGTCTTACCTAGACCCATGCCAGGTGTTGGATTTTTTAAGGGTCTATGTGAGTATCTGGGGCATAAGAAATGAAGAGGGGTACTAGGTGAAATGAAGGAAGCATTCATTCATTCATCAAACACATAATGGGCATCCACATATTTGCAGGGCTGGATACGAGAGGAGACACGTCTGCCCCTGAGATGTTCCCCATCCAGTAGTGTCATGTCCCTGCCTAACATACAAGGAATGTCAGGCTTTAGAGCTGTAATCAGTCTGGTGATTTTTCCATGTGCCATGGTAACACACTGGGTATTTTTTTTTTTTTTTGATAGGAATGTGGAAATTTTTCCCGGCATGCTGATTTGCAAAGTTTCAGGTATTAGCAAAATAAGAACATGTGGCATCTTTTCATGTAAAGCCAAAGGAGAACATATGTGTCCTGTGAACCAGTGGAGGAGAAGCTTCTTTTCCATAAGTGCAGTGTGGACCGGCACAACTTTCCTTAGGTCTGCAACTAACATTCTCATTTATGCAAAAAAAGATCTGCTTTTCAGAGTTAAATGTGGCTCAAATGGTTTCATATTCTCAGAAAATACAAACGGGATTAAAAAAACTAAAACCAAACCCATTGCTGAGGAGTCAGTTCTGACGCATAATGACCCGATAGGACAGAGTAGAACTGCTGCTGTGTAGGGTTTCCAAGGAGCAGCTAGTGGATTCGAATTGTCAGCCTTTTGGTTAGCAGTCAAGCTCTTAACCACTGCACCACCAGGGCTCCTTGAATGGAATATACAGATAAAATTAAAATTTTAGGTTCATCTCCTTGGTTTTCCACCTTACTCTGTGTAGTATGTATCTGGAAAGTCCTTGACACATAGGACATAATAGTATATGTCACCATATATTTGAAAAATCTTCCAGTACAGTGTCTATATAAATATTCACTCAGTCTTACTAATATAGACAGTTTTGCATCCTGGTTTGATATATGAGGAAATTTAATCTCTGATCATTAAGATAACATTTTGTTTTAGATTGTTAATAAAAAAAAGTAAGAAAACAATTAATGGTACATAATAAAGAATACAATACAATTGGTTTTAACAATAAAGAAGTTATACCATGTTCATGGACTGGAAGATAAATATAAATTCTCATTGAGTTTTATAAATGAACTTTTTAAGCTATAATTTACATTAAAATGCACCCACTTGAAGTGCACATTTCTGAGTTCCGGCAGATGTACACATCCCTGCTATGACCTCCGCAATCAAGACATAGAACATTTCCACTATCCCAACATAGTTCCCATATCTCTTTGTAGCTATTAAGTCCCATCTCAAGCTCCAGTCCCATTGATCTGCTTGCTTTCATGGTGAATTAGTTATGCCTATTTGAGAATATCCTATAAATGTACGCTTTCTCAGCACAATATTCTTTGAAATCAAGTTATTGTATGTATCTGTAGTTCATAATGTATTATTACTAAATACTATTTCATTGTATGAGTATATCACAATATGTTATCTATTAACTTGTTGATGTACATTTGAGGTTTTTGGGTTTGGGGCTATAATGTATAAAGCTGCTGTGAGTATTCAGGTACAAGTCTTTTCATGGACGTGTTTTCATTCCCATGAGTAAGTACCAAGGAGTGAAATTGCTAGATCAAAGAGTGGCTGTATGTTCAACTTTAGAAGGAATTTCCAAATTGTTGTCCAAAGAGGCTTTAATTGTTACCTCTCTCATCAGCAATGTGTTAGAATTCCAGTTGTTTCCAAATCTACATTAACAAATTGGTATTGTTAACCTTTTAAATTTGAACAATTCTAGTGGGAGTTCAGTGGTATTTCATTATGTGTTTTTATTTTTTAATTTATATTTAAGTTTGCATTCAGTAAAATTCACTTTTTATGGTGTACAATTCTGGGAGATTTGAAAAATGTATAGAATTGTATAACTACAACCACTGTCAAGATATTGAAGAGCTCCATTACCCAAAACATTTCCTCTTGGTGGCCCTTGATAGTCAAACTCCTCCCATCCCTAACCTCTGGAAATCACTGATTTGTTCTCCATCTGTTTTGTACTGCCTTTTAGAGAATGTCATACAATGAAACCACATGAAATGAACCCTTTAAAGTCTGGCTTCTTTCACTTAGCATAATGTATTTGGGATTTATCCATGTTATTGGGTGTATCAATAGTTTGTTCCTTCTAATTGTTGACTGGTAATCCATCATATGGATATACAGTATCACCGTTTGTACATATTTACAAGTTGAAGAACATTTGGGTTGTTTCCAGGTTTTGGTGGCTATGAATAAAGTTGCTATAAATACTTTCACACGCAGTTTTTATGTGAAAATAAGTTTTTATTTCTTTTGGGTGAATACCTAGGAGGCAGATTCCTGAGACATATAAGTGTAAGTTTCACTTCATATGAAACTGACAAATTCTTCTCCAAAGTGGTTGTACTATTTTGCATTCCCACCAGAGTAGATGAGTGTTCTGGTTGCTCCACATCCCCTCTCAGTATTATCAGGGTTTGTTGTTTTGCTTGTTTACTTTTTGAGCCATTCTAATAAGTGTGCAGTGGCTTCTCATTCTGATTTAATTTGCAATTCCCTAAAGAGAAATGACGTCAAGCATGTTTTCATGTACTTATTTGTCACCTGTTTATCTTCTTTGGTGAAGTGTATGATCAAATCTTTGGCTTATTTTTTTAACTGGGTTTTTTGCTTACTTGGTGTTTTGTTTTGAGAGTCCCTTAATATATTCTGGGTACAAGTCATTCGTGAGATACATGTTTTCCTTATATTTTCTTCCAATCTGTAACTTTTCTTTTTACTCTCTAAAGAATGTCTTTTACAGAACACCAGGCTCTATCTCCAAAAACATGTGGTACACGTGAGGTGATCTTCTAGTGTGTCAGAACATGGGAGAACAGAGCAAGGAAGATAAAAAGGGAGAAAGACTTGGAGGCCAGATGGGGATATTCTTGGGTTACAAAGCTCATATGGGCAGGAGCTCATTGAGTGCCTTTGGAGAATGCAGAGATGGAACTGAAAAGAATTCTCCATTTCCTGTTCCTCCACCACAGACCACTGCTTCTTCATTGACCCTAGGAACACAGGGACAGCTGCCCACTCAAAACAAGATGCTGTAGCTTGGAATCTTCCTTCTTCACCCCTGAAAGTCCAGGTGATGTCAATCTTCTCACTCCTCCCAAACCAGCCAGCCCAATGAGCAACCAGCCCAACTATCTCAGGCTATGATCCCATCATCATAGCCTTCATCTCTTGTCTGTCTTTCCCCCGGAGCTGCGTTCAATACAGGAGCAGGCAGATGTTGCCCATCTGTCTGGAACTCCTGCTAGTGACCCTGAGTGGAAGGAAGAAAGGGGTCACATCAGCGCAGTGGATGTACAGTAGGTCCAAAAGGGGAACTGAGGTCCAAGGGTGAACAGGACCCTTATTTCTTTCTACATTTCCAGGACCCCATTTGTTCCTTCTTTGCTTATTTATTTCCATAAATATTTAACAGTGATAATGCTTAGCCCTTATGGGGAAATGTGGTAGGCAGAATGAAGGCCCCTAAAATGTCCATATCCTAATCCCCAGAACCTGTGAATACGTTACCTTACATGGCCAAAGGGACTTTGCAGATGTGATTAAATTTTGTATCTTGATATGGTGAGATTATCTTGGTAGGCCCAATGTAATCACAAGAGTCCTTATAAATGAGAGAAGGGGGTCAGAAGAGTTACTGTCAGAGTCAGAGAGAGATTTGATGATGCTACACTCTTGGCTTTGAAGATGGAGAAAGGAGTCATAAGCCAAGGAATGCAGGTAGCTTCTAGAAGCTGGAAGAGACAAGGAAACAGATTCTCCCCTAAAGCTTCCAGAAGAAGTGCAGTCTCGCCCACACTTTGATTTTAGCACAGTAAGAGCCACTTCAGACTTTTGGCCTCCAGAACTGTAAGATAAAAACTCTGTGTTGTTTTAAGCCACTAAATTTGTGGTATTTGTTACAGCAGCAGCTGGAAACCAATATAGCTGATGCCAAATCTCATTGCTTCCTTCCAATAATCCTATGATAAAGATACTATCATCTTCTCAATTTTACAAAAAAGGAAATTAAGGCTGAGACATAGAGGTGATTTGTCCATGTGGTAATTATGGATTTAGGATCCAAATAAGGAGTAAATAGTATGAGGTCTTACTGAGGGCCTCCTAAGGGCCAGGTTCTGGGATAGGTGCTGGACACAGAGTGATGCACAAAGCAGATGTGAGCCCTGACCTCTTCCAGCTTATTTCCTGGTACAAGAAGCAGACAATGAACATCAGCAATAAGCAAATAAATATCTAATTCTGCATTATTATATAATGAACAGAAGAGGGTGCAGTGTGACAGAATAACAGAAGCCCAGTCAGACCTACCTCTGCTCTCCAGGAGAAGCGGGCGATTTGGAGAAACGGTCACGGACCCCAACAGTACAGGGACATCCATTGTATTACAAGGAGAGAACTACACTGCCTGGGAGGGAGGTGGCAAAGTTTCCACTGAACTCTTCCTGTGACTGCCCATTTCTTTGTTCCTTTTTATAGCACAAATACGCAAAAGGTTGCTTGTGCTCACTCTCCCCACTTCCCCTCCTCCAGTTCTCTTTAGAACTTGTCCAGTCATGTCTTCACCCCTTTCCCACCACTCCACTGAAACCACGATAGTTTAGATCACCAATGACAAAGCGTTTCTAGATTTAAATGGCCATTTCTCAGTCCTCACCCTACTAGACCCATCAGCCACACCTGACACAGTGTTTACTCTCTCCTGAAGCACCTTCCTCACTGGCACCCAGGACCACACACTTTGCTGCTTCTTCCTCATGGGACTGCCCCGGGCTCTGTCCATGGGCCCCTTCTCTTCTCTGTCTACCATCAACACCTTTTTACCTCGCCCATCGTCATCACATCACACTAAGCACACATTTTAACCTTGCCAGCCTAGACCCCTCTCCGGACCTTCAGACACTTACATCCAACATCTACCTGATGCCCCACTTGGAGGTCATGCAATCCCTCAGAATTAACATCCCCTTCAAAATCCTGCCTTTGAAGTCCTCTATGTAAGACACTTCCACCCTTCTAGTTACTCAGGGACAACTTCTTGATGTCATCCTTGCTCTTCTTTTCCTTCAATCCCCACTTCCATTAGAAAATCCCGTTAGCTTGATCTTCAAAATATATTCAAACATGTATCCTCATGACCAACACTACCTCCTGGTCCAAACCTCCACCACCTCCTCCCTAGAGCATCAGTTATCACCTTCCCAAACTCTCTGTTGTTGTCCTGGTCCCAATCTGGTCTATTCTTAACAGAGTAGCCATCGAGATCCTGCTAAAATGAAAGTCCTATCACGTCTCCTCTCTATTCAAAGGCTTCGGGATTTTTCCATTGGTTTTCAAGACCCCTCATGGTCTGCACCATCCTCCCAGCTGCTCCCCCTTCCTCTGCCTCCCTTTGCTTAAACACTGGCCTCCTTGTCATTTCCACAGCACACCAGGCCTGCTTCTGCCTCAGCGCCATTGAACTCATGGTTCCCTTTTTTCCCTCTTCCTGGGATCTTTTGCTCTTAGGTAAACACAGAGAGGGCTTCCTCTTTGCCCTCAAGTCTTCGCTCAAAAGTCACCTCCTCACACTATTCAGTGTGGAAATCTACCCCAATATGTCTTATACTTCTTTCCCTGTATTATTTTCCCCTGAACATATACTACCAGCCACCATGCTCTAACTATATTTATTATTGATTTATCTTTATTTATATCCTTGTTGTCTCCAGAATGACAGCTACTTGAGGACAGAGATTTTTGAGGTCGTCTTCACCAAGACACCCTGCACCTTTGACAATGCCGGCAAGTAGTAGATGTTCAGCAGTACTTGGTGAAGGCATCTACAAATAAAGGATAAATGTAACTCCTCTGCTCAAAACCATACCCTGAATGTTAAACACACGCGCTCGTGTACACACACACACACACACACACACACACACGTTCACACACATACACACACAACAGGGGTGACATTTAAGACTGATCTTGAAGAATGAATAAGACTTGTGTAGACAAAAATGGGAAAGGAAGGGCATTTCAGAAATAACTGTATATGCAAAGTCACAGAGTCACAGAGGGCTTGGCCAGGTTAGGTGTGGTGAGATGTTAGTGATGCAGGCTGGAGGGCCCAGCAGGGCAGATCATGTGAGGCCTTGGAGTCCTGGCTGTGGCATTTGTACCTATTTTCCAGCCATGGAGAGGAAACATCAGTGCTCAAACTATGGAGGAACGGAATGGTAATTGTACCTGGAAGTACAGTCTGGAGGCTTGGGCTGGGAGATGGATGGGAGGCAGGGAGGTGAGGTGGGCTCTGTGATGAAGGGAAAAGCGGAGGCTGCAGGAATGACCAGGGTCAGTATGGAGTAAAGAAGGGCATCAACATGAGCTGTGCTGAGAAGGAAGGATAGACAAGGTTAGTAAATTATTAGATCTGGGAGAAAGAAGAGAGGACAGAGTGGAGAATGACACTCTGGTTTCAGCTTGAGAGACTGCAGTCAGCTGAGTCATTAGAAAGATGAGAGCTAACCGGAAAAGAGAGTCGGGAAGGTAGATGGGCAGCTCAACATTGGCCATGCTGAGTGGAACAATCATGAGGGCCACCCTGGGGGAGGAGTCCAGGTAGGATGTTGGGAAGTGAGACACTCACGTCACTCACCTGAGAGACTAACCCACGAATGTGTTTGCATCTTCCGTGCCTGTGTCCTCCATGCCCTCTGCTGGCCCAGCTGCTCTATTCCTGCAGGATCTCACTCTGAGTGAAGACAGCAGAGAGCCCCTCAGTCTGGCCAGATTGGGGGCAGTGGGCAGACGGACCCTCTGTTCCCTCCTAAGGAGTTGAAGGGTGACTGAAGTAGGACAGGACAGGGCTACCCCAGAGACCTTCTTGATGAGAGTTAGGACCCAGGCCTGACTATTTTTGGCACATGCAGAATTCTCATCACCAATGAATCCTCCCACCTCACCCAGGCCCCCTTAACCCATTGGAGTCCCTCTAGTACTTGATTCTTGGGTTCAGTGACCTTCCCCCTGCCCTCCCCATGTGTCCCTTCCTCCTGGAGGTGGTGATCACATGCAGAAGGTAAGGAAGAGACAAAGGAGCAGGGTCTTGACTGTGACTGCCCCAATAACCACCGGAACCACATCTGCCATGCACCCAGGTGTCCCTGCGGGAGAGTGAGAGGAGGACTGAGTTACCTCACACCAAACTCCTGTGTCCTTCTGCTACCAATAGGACTGGACATTTGTTCTCCAGGCCAGTCCTGCATCACTGAATGTGGGCTGTGTGTATCTCAGCCTCACCTCACCCACAGCCTGATGTCCAGCAGGTGGACAGAGTACTCTGCATCCTGTGGAAATTTGGATTTCACAGGTGAGTCTGAGCCCAGAGGTGTGGTCCCTGTTAAGCCACAGGCGTCTGTTCAGTAAGGATCAGATGAGCTAGGGGTCACAGGGGTGTGGGGACAAGTGTGAAGCCTCTTGATGCTCACTCTGCAGGGAGAGGCTCAGGGAGATGTGCTGGGAACCCAGTGGGTTCTGAGCTTGGCAGGTGAATTCTCCTTCATCCCTGATGCGTACTTGACGCAGCTCCAGGACCCCAGGGTTCGAGGGCTGTGAAGGGATCATGGCTAGACTCTCCCTGGACCAGCTCAGCCTGGACAGTGGGTTGCTGTCGGCAACACAGATCAGGTGCAGGGACTGGCCCTCCTGGGCTGATAGTGATGAGCCATTTCCTAGGACTGTGGATGCTGGAGAGAGAGAGAGATAGACAGACAGACAAAGAGGTTGTTATGGATTGAATTGTAACCCCCAAAAGAGTATGTTGAAGTCTTATCCTCAGTGTATGTGAATGTGACCTTGTTTAGAAATGTGTTTTTGCAGATGTTATCAGTTAGGTTAACATGAGGTCATACTGGAGTGGTAGTGGTAGTTGTTGTGGCTAGTTTCCTTTTAGTCAGTTTCGACTCATGGCAACCCCATGAGTTATAGAGTAGAACTGCTTCATAGGATTTTTTGGCTGTAATCTTAATGGTAGCAGATTGCCAGGTCTTTTCTTCTGTGGTACGGCTAGGTAGGTTTGAACCACCAACCTTTAGATTAATAGTTGAGTGCAAACCATTTGCACCACCTAGGGACCTTTACTGGAGTGTGGGTCTTAATCAATGAGTGGTGTCTTTATAAAAAGAGAAGAAACATAGAGACAGACACACAGAGAAGGCAGCCATATAAAGATAGAGACAGATATTGGGATGATGCATCTATAAGCCAAGGAATGCCAAGTATTTCCAGAATCCAATGAAGCTAGGAGAGAGGCATGGAACAGATTCTCCCTCACACCCCTCAGAAGGAATCAACGGAGTCAACACCCTAGTATCAGACTTCTAGCCTCCAGAACTGTGACAGTAAATTTCTGTTGTAAGCTACCCAGTTCATGATACTTTGTCATGGCCACCCTAAGAAACTAACATCGAGGTGAAGAGAAAGAGGATACAGAAAGAGACAGGGTGAGGGGAACAGACACAGACACACAGACACAGAGTGAGAGCAATGAGATTCTGTGAGAGGGACCCAGAGAGGGAGTGAGCCCAGAACCCAGAGCCTGGTGGAGGCCTTGTTTTCTCTGCACACAACAATGTAGATTCATCTCTGCACTGATGGAAAGCACAGGGTGGGGAGGTCCTCACTTCATAAGCTGCCCAGACAAATGTTTTGCCCTTTCTTGGGTCCATGCCCTCTTTGCTGTTCTGCCCCTAGAATCCAGATTTACCCTGAGGATTCTTGTCTCTTAGATCAATAGTCTAACTTTACAGCTTGAGGAACTAGAAAAAGAAGAAACTAAGTCCAAAGCTACCAGAAGGAAGGAAACAACATCGATCAGAGTGGAGATAAGTGAAGTAGAGAAAAGAAAAACAACGGAGAGAATCTATGAAATCAGAAGTTTTTTTAAAGATCAAGAAAATTTAGCTAGACTGACAAAGAAAAAAAGACAGAAGATGCAAATAATTAAAATCAGAAATAAAACTGGTGACATTACTACTGACCCTACAGAAATAAAAAGGATTATAAGAGAATGCTATGATAATTGCATGCCAACAAATCAGATAACCTAGACTACATAGACAATTTCCTAGAAACATAAACTATGTAAACTGACCCAAGAAGAAATAGGAAATATCAAAGACCCATAAAAATTAAGGAGATTGAATGAGCAATGAAAGAACCCCCAGCAAAGAAAAGTCCTGGACCAGATAGCTTCACTGGGGAATTCTACCCAACATTTAAATAAGAATTACATCAATGCTTCTTAAAGGCTTCCAAAAAATAGAAGAGGAGGGAACACTATCTAACTAATTCTTTGAAGGCTGCATTACCCTGATTCCAAGGCCAGACAAAGATACCACAAGAAAGAAAACTACAGATCAACATTCCTTATTAACATAGATACAAAATTTTTCAACAAAATACTAGCAAACTGTATCTAACAGTATATTATAAACAAATCATCAACTTCATATGGAAAGGGAAGAGGCCCTGGATAAGTAAAGCATTACTGAAGAAGAAGAACAAA